TTCTTTAGGGAGGTGTAATTTGAGCGTATCACTCATGTGGTTTTTATTGTCGGTTATTAGTAGCTCTCACAGTTCAGTCAGACTCTATTGCATTGACCACATTTACAATTCATTCAGTATTCAGTCAGCATGTTATAAATTAGTCATTGCATTCAATTAGCTCAGTATTCAGCATCTATATCATGTCCAGATTATTTCATTGCTTTATTGCTTTGTTCAGTTATATGTTATTTCAGCTTTACTCTATCATGCATGCTCAGTACCTTTCAAGTACTGACGCATACGTGAGCTACATCTTCTTGTGATGTAGGTTCAGGTTCTCAACATCTAGATCACGCTTAGATTGGTTCCCGATCTCCAGTTCAGCAGCATCAGGGGTGAGTCCTCATTCTTCGAGGACAATAGTCATGTTATCTTTCAGTTTTCAGTCTTTTAGTTTTAGATTTTCTAGACTTAGTTGGGGAATGTCCCAGCACTTCTAGTCAGTTTAGAGGCTTATTTCAGACATAGTTAGATTCAACTTAGTATTGAGTTAATATCTTCTTTGTATTAAACTCATCTGTTTTCATTTATCTCAGTTATAGTATATGGGTACTCCCAATCTTTTCATTTTTATTTATGATTTAGCTTACGCATCAGTTTATTATCTTTACTATGCTCATGATCATGCCAGCAGGGTTAGCTTACAATCACGGTCCCGTGTCCGCGTCTCGGGGATAACTCGGGGTGTGACATATATGAATGTCATGTGTTTGACCAAAATCGGGTTTGTCATTTTCATTGTCCATGATTTCTTTCATCAATCATATCCAACGAAAGGGACAAATGTTGACACCCAATTTTGGCCTAACATTTTCAAAATTCGTAACTTTTAAGTTTTATTTATTTAATTGTTGAAAATACCTTTTTTATAATTTTAAATAAGTTTCTCTATAACTATCTTTATTTGTCAAATTTAGGATTTTTTTATCAGTTAATTTTAATTACATTATTTTTTGTCACTGCCAGTTGAATACGCTCAAATATTTGTTCATTTTGATTAAATCGTTATATCTGTTAAATTGCACTTTTTACATGTCATTAGTTACGTTCATTACTTTTTTTTTTAATATTCAGTTTTATTCGTTACATTTGCTAATATTAATTTTTATATTTTGCACAACCTAGAAATTCATTCAAATATAAATAAGATTTCATTCAACCCATAGTTTTAAGATAATGGTATCGTACTATAGATAGTTTTCAATTTTCTATATAAACAATAGCTTATTCATTAAGTCAAGGGGTGGATAATATTTTTAGACTAAGTGGTGAAAATTTTCAAAATGAGTGAAACCCTAAGAAATTTTTCTATCATATTCTCAAATCTGTCGCCACCCTCCTTCCTCACCACCTCCCAAACTCCATTTCCGGCCAGCTTCAACCAGCCACCAAAAGATTTCACTGGTAAGCCGCTCTCTTCATCCTCTCCGGCGAAACCATGATGCCGGAGAGACTAAATAACCACTGTTTCGAGCTCCAACCTCACACTACCAAAAACCCGCCTGAAAATAGCCAGCAACCGCTCCATTTTCCTTCATCCAAACCACTCATTTCACCCTTCATCGTTTCCAGCAACTCAACAACAACTCAAAATAGGCCGAGTCTTAGATTTGTCTTTATATTATGTCATCTTTTATGTATTCTCTCTTTGTTATACCATTTTATTGGTATTTAATGAATATTTGGTCTTTGTTTTCCAAACTCGAGTTGTCACAAATTAATTGCTTGGATCAATCTATCATAATCACATTATGTTTGACGTTTAGGCCTACCTCTGGCATAAAAAGGTCACAAATTTAGGCCGCGATATAAATTGTTTGTGTGTTGCTTGACATAATCGCTTTGTGTTGTGATGTGTCATTTTGTCTAAAGCAGAATTAATCCACTCTTGTTTCTTAGAGCACCTTAAGCATATATAAAAATCCACAACAACAAAGTCCGTCCAAGTTACTCCTGAAGTGTTGTCTAAGTTTCTCGGAAAATATATAAACCCTTTAAAAAAATTCTAAATTTCCATCTTTCAGTCTAAGAAAGGTTACTTTGCTAGAATGTCTAGAAGAAGTGTTAGCACGTCATTGCCGATCATTGATTTGGTTAATGGCGAAGAAATTGAAGAATCAATGTTTAGACTGATTCAGACTACACTTAGCCTGGATTCCCCGGAAGGATACATAGGCAGTCCCTATCCTAAAAATTTTTATTCTCCCTTTCCTTGAAGGATTCTGAAAGATTTCACCTAAAAGATATGAGTGGAAGAAGTTAGAAAGAATCTATGCAAGTCGACTTTCTTGATTCATTCAAATGAACTAACCCAAAAAAAAAACCTTCCATTTGAGTCCTCCCTTTCACCCAAAATACATTCGTGGATTAATCTGCTTGAAGCAAAATGACAATTATATGTTTATTCTTATATCATCTTATTTGTATTTCTCATTAGAAACAATAACTAACATAGCTACTTTTGAGTTGTTTTTCATTTATCAGGTAACTAGAACTAATTTGTGTTGAGAAACTGGATGAGCATCCGTACTTCACGAGATCTAAAGTCCCTAAAGATTCCTTCCCGGGCCAAAATTTATTGAAAGGAAAAGAAAAGATGGCTGGAAATGGTGAGAACATCGGTTTAAATGAGATCACAATAGTAGACCATATCATTGCTGAGCAGAATAAGTTAATTGCTTAACTGGCACAACAAATTGTTGAAATGAGGGCTGAGATGCATAAGACTCGGGAGTTGGCAAATTTGGCTATCACTGCTAACACTCCTCTTCCAAACAACGAAAGACCTCCGCTCCATTTCCCTACTCCTAATCCAACACCCGAATATTTCCCACAAAATCCACCTATTGTTCCAGTCCAAAAGGCCCCAACTATCGAATTAAACACAACTAACCAACATCATGCTAGCTCTTCCTACCAAACACCTCATCCATCTCAAAGCCTAAATTCTCACAACTCTCAAGCATTTCCTTCCATGTACCAAAATCCTCCTCAAAACACTTCAAACCCACCTACTACTCAACCCCTACCTACAAAAGCCACTTTCCATATTCCAATCCTCACAGAACCACATCTTCACTACACTACATATCCCGAACCCGATCACTATGAGGAAAAGGAAAAAGAGTGGAGGGTCAAAGAGGAAATGAATAAGCAGAGCATGAAGGAAGAAATTATGAAAGCTATGAAATAACTTCATTACACTCCAAACGTTATAGGGCTAAACTATGAAGACTTGTGTATCCATCCAAACTTAGACCTTCCCGAGGGGTTTAAGGTACCAAAGTTTGACAGTTTTGGAGGAACTGGGAATCCATTAGCTCATTTAAGGGGGTATTGTGACCAGCTCGTAGGAGTTGGGAAAAATGAAGCATTGTTGATGCGGCTCTTCAGCCGAAGTTTGAATGGAGAGGCCTTAGAATGGTTCGCCTCCCAAGACATGAAGCAATGGCCTAGTTGGAATGCTTTAGCTAAAGATTTTATTGAGAGATTTGCTTATAATGTAGAGATCGTTCCAAATCGATACTCCTTGGAAAAGATTAGGCAAAATCCACCGAAAACTGCCGTGAATATGCATACATGTGGAGAAAAGAGGCTGCCAGAGTTCAACCTCCCATGTCTGAAAAAGAGATCACTGAAGTATTTGTGCGCATCCAAGAGCCAAAATACTATGATAGAATGATGTTGCTCATTGGAGCAAAATTTGCTGAGATAGTCAAAATAGGTGAGACTATCGAAGATGGTCTTAAGACCGAAAAGATTGCCCGGGTGGCAGCCCAAGCCGGATCTTCGGGACTATTGAGGAAGAAAAAAAAGGAAGTGTCTTTTATTTCTGATGCATCTGATGGAAGGACAAAGAGATCGTTCGGATTTAACTCTAGAAAATCTTCACCCTCCAAACCCTATCCCCTAGCTCCACAAAATCCCTACCCAATCTTCTATGTCCAACCAAATTTCCAAACTCCGCCTCCTAATCTCCCAGCTCCACATTACCAAAATACCCCTCCAAACTATCAGACTCCACAATCAAATTACCAAACTCAACCATACCCAAAATTCCAAACACCAACACCTCCCCGCCAAAATCCTTTAAATTACCGTCAAGTACCTCCAAACTCCACAAAATAACTATGACCTTCCTCGTCCAAACTTTGAAAGGAAACCTCCCAGAATTTTCACTCCTCTCATTGAAAGCCGAACTAAGTTGTTCGAAAGATTGAAAGTTGCAGGCATGCTTCATCCCATCGAACCTAAACCTGTCAACACAAACTCCAAATTCTTTAGAGCTGATCAAATATGTGCATATCACTCCAATAGTGCAGGACATACCACCGAAGATTGCATCAACCTGAAGCATAAGATTCAAGACTTAATTAATCACAAGGTGGTCACCCTTCAGACTGCCTCTCCGAATGTACATAGTAATCCTCTACCAAATCATGGGGGAGATACTATTAATATGATTGAAAAAAAAGAGGATTGGGGTGCTGCTAAGACGATAGTCCCATCGAATCTTGACAGTCTTGAGAAGGTTGTAGCCTCTCAAAGCATAAGCAAGAAGCCCGAGTTCATGATAAAAACACTTCATCAAGCTTTTGTTTTAGGGCCAAAGAAGGGCGTTACTGAGAAAGAGTTTGTGATAATGGCACCTCATTAAGCTTTTACTTCAGTGCCAAAGAAAGGCCTTACCAAGAAAGAGTTTGTGATCGAGACCGCTACTGCCCATGGTATGACTAGATCTGGTAGATGTTATACACCAGAAGAATTGGCTCAAGGAGGCCACAAGAGAGACCACCAGAAAAGACCAATCAGTGAAGATGAAGCCGAGGAGTTTTGGCGGAGAATGCAGCCTAAAGAGTATTTCATCATGAAACATTTGGAGAAGACACCTACTCAAATTTATGTGTGGGCATTATTGATGAGTTCACAACAACACAGACATGCTTTGTTAAAGGCTTTGAATGAGACTCACGTACCGGTGGGGACAAACAGCGATAATCTCACAACCATGGTAAGTAAATTCATCGGAGGCCAGCGTGTTAGTTTTAGCGATGAAGAGTTGCCTTGTGACGGGGTGATGCATAACAAAGCCTTTCACATTACAATCAAGTGCCATGACAAGATTGTGAATCGTGTTCTGATAGGTGACGGATCTGGACTTAATATTTGCCCATTGTCGACTCTCAAGCAACTGAATTTTGATCTTGGGAAGATTCGTCAGAACCAAGTCAATGTGAGAGCTTTTGACGGGGGTCAAAGAGAAACATTGGGCGCTGTTAGTCTGGGTATTGGAGTAGGACCTGCAGATTTCATTGTCGAGTTTCAGGTGATGGACATCACCACTAGCTACAACCTTTTACTCGAAAGACTTTGGATCCATATGGATGGGGCCGTGCCCTCTACCCTCCATCAGTTAATGAAGTTTGTGTGGAACAATCACGAAGTAGTCATTCATGGTGAAGGAAGACATTCGAATGACTATGCCCCAATTGTCGATGATGTGGCTAGAGGTTCTGACTTCTATACAGTAGAGATAGTGAATGCTACCGATGATGATTTGGCCTCACATCCCCCTATGCCTTCCATTTACAGGATGATAGCTACTTTGATGTTAAGAAGTGGATTTGAACCTGGTTTTGGATTGGGAAATTTTTTGCAAGGTATCACTGAGCCTATTCAAATTTTCACAAAAAGTTCAAAGTTTGGCTTGGGATACATCCCAATAGCAGATGATGAGACGGGAGCTTCGAGTAACAAGGTGGTTGATTGGGAATTAGCAAAATCGGTACCTCATTTATACCAGTCTTTTCCAGTGCGAGAATATTTCAATAATGATGGTCTCGGAGAGGGAATCGAGAATCTTTTTGAAGAATCTGATGTTGTGCTTGAGGAGATAATCAAGACATCTGGCATTCGAAATGCCAAACCAGAAGAGCAAGTGCCTAACTGGACATCCACACAACTCCTGGTTCCTCACTCGTCTTGGTAGACAAAGATATATCTATTTTACTTATTTCTAAAATTGGTGGTAGTCTGAATGAGGCCTAAGACCCACCCTTTATGTCGTTTTACCTCTTTAAGCTTTAATTTCCCTCGTGATGTTTAAAAAGGCAGATTGCCCTATGGTCATGGCCAAAGTTTGTACTTTCTTTTAATCTAAATGAAAGCCTCCTCTATTGCTTAAATCTATTTATTCACAACTTACTAATTTGTTTTAAACTTTTTTTATCTGACATGGCTTATTTATGATTTCAGTAAAAATGACTTAAAACCTGCCAATATTATGTCATGTCATAAGTTGAGTGAGCAAAATGAGATAGATGAGAATGAGTTCGAGGAATATGATGAAGAGACCATGTTCCAGAACACCTCGCAGAAGAATTGAAATAGTTTGAGAATCAAGATAAGTTAAATTTAGAGGAGACTGAGACCGTGAACCTGGGAGATGAAGAAAGTGTTAAAGAAACCAGGATCAGTGTCCATCTCACAGAAACTCAAAAAGAAGAACTCATCAGTTTGCTTCAACAGTACATCGATGTACTTGCTTCGTCTTATGATGATATGCCTGGATTGAGCACAAATATTGTTTCTCACACGTTGCCGATCAATCCAGATTTCAGTCCGATAAAGCAGAAAAGTCGAAAGTTCAAGCCAGATTTGAGTTTGAGAATCAAAGAAGAAGTTACCAAACAGATGCAAGCCAAGGTTGTAGAGGTTACTAAGTATCCAACTTGGTTAGCCAATATTGTTCCAGTGCCTAAGAAAGATGGTAAAATTAGAATATGTTTGATTATAGAAATCTCAATAAAGCCAGTCACAAACACAATTTTCCATTGCCGAATATCCACATTCTCATTGACAACTGTGCTAAGCATGAAATGCAATCATTTGTGGATTGCTTTGCGGGTTATCATCAGATTTTGATGGATGAAAGAGATGCTGAAAAGACGGCTTTCATTACACCATGGGGTGTTTATCATTACCGGGTAATGCCATTTGGTCTTAAGAATGTCGGGGCCACATATATGAGAGACATGACAGTTATCTTCCATGATATGATCCATAAGGAGGTTGAAGTATACGTGGATGACGTAATCATCAAATCCCGCAAGAGTTCAGATCACTTGACCCATTTGAGAAAGTTCTTTGATCGGTTGCGTCAATACAACTTGAAGTTGAATCCCGCTAACTGTGCTTTTGGAGTACCCGTTGGTAAATTATTGGGTTTCATAGTTAGTAGAAGAGGCATTGAACTTGATCCTACCAAAGTCAAGGCTATTCAGGATTTACCGCCTCCAAAGTCTAAGAAAGAAGTTATGAGTTTCCTTGGAAGATTGAACTACATCAGTCGATTCATAGCTCAATCCATGGTAGTTTGCGAGCCCATCGTTAAGTTGTTGAAAAAAGATGCACTAACGGTGTGGACCGAAGAGTGTCAAAAAGCTTTCGATACTATCAAAGATTATTTGACAAATTCACCAATATTGGTACCTCCGCGAGAAGGAAGTCCATTGTCACTATATTTGTCCGTCTCAGAAAATGCGTTCGGGTGTGTATTAGGACAACATGATGAAACTGGAAAGAAGGAACGCGCGATCTACTATCTTAGCAAGAAGTTTACTCCATATGAGGCTCGGTACACTCTATTGGAAAGAACATGTTGTGCTTTGACTTGAATCGCCCAAAAGCTGAGGCATTATTTGTATTCATATACTACATATCTTATTTCGAAGATGGATCCATTGAAGTATATTTTCAAGAAAGCTATGCCGACTGGAAAACTGGCGAAATGGCAGATGCTTCTGAACGAGTTTGACATTGTGTATGTTACTCAAAAAGCGATAAAAGGACAAGCATTGGCCGATCATCTTGCAAAAAATCCAATCGACGAAGAATATGAACCGCTCAAAACATACTTCCCTGACGAAGATGTGTTGTTCATAGGAGAAACCATTTCTGAGTCATACCCTGGTTGGAGGGTATTCTTTGATAGAGTGGTGAACTATAATGGAGCTGGAATTGGAGCGGTTCTAATATCGGAATCCGATCAACATTACCTCGTGGCGGCTAAACTTCGATTTCCTTACACTAATAATATGGCAGAATACGAGGCTTGCGTTCTTGGCATAATGTTAGCCATCGACATGAATGTCCAAGAGTTGCTGGTAATTGGAGATTCAGACTTGTTAATTCACCAGGTTCAAGGGGAATGGGTCGTGAAGAATCCAAAGATGTTCCATATGTACAATTGGTGCAAAGATTGTGCAAAAGATTTCAAAAGATAGGGTTTATGCACACTCCAAGGTTGCAAAATGAATTTGCTGATGCTCTTGCCACTATCTCCTCTATGATCAAGCATCCAGATCATAATTACATCGATCCTTTGGAGATAGATTTAAAGGAACAACCCGCTCATTGTTCGCATGTAGAAGCGGAACCAGATGGAAAGCCTTGGTATTATGATATAAAGAAGTACCTGGAGACTGGAATTTATCCAGAAGATACGAAATCCAATGAAAACAAGGCAATACGTCGATTGGCTAATAATTTCTTTCCAAGTGGGGAAATCCTTCATAGGAGGACTCCAGATTTGGGACTCCTCAAGTGCGTAGATTCCATGGAAGCTACAAGACTTCTTGAAGAGGTACATGTTGGAGTCTGTGGACCTCATATGAACGGGCTTACTTTGGCAAAAAAGATCATTCGAGCTGGTTATTTTTGGATGACTATGGAGCATGATTGTTGTAGATTTGTGCAAAAGTGTCATAAATGACAAGTACATAGTGATTTGATCCGAGTACCCCCTCACGAACTTAATGTTATGGGATTGCCTTAGCCATTCGTGGCCTGGGGCATGGATGTCATTGGCCCAATTGAGCCAGCCGCCTCTAACGGACATAGATTTATTTTGGTTGCCATTGATTACTTCACCAAGTGGGTGGAAGCAAACTCTTATAAATCTGTGACCAAGAAAGTTGTAACTAATTTCGTTCGCAACAATCTGATATGTAATTTTGGAGTACCAGAATCCATCATTACTGACAATGGAGCGAATCTCAACAGCCACTTGATGAGAGAAATATGTGAACAATTCAAGATTACTCACCGGAATTCAATTGCTTTTCGTCCTCAAATGAATGGAGCCGTAGAAGCTTCCAATAAGAACATCAAAAAGATTTTGAGAAAGATTATTGATAATCACAGAGGTTGGCATGAGATGTTATCATATGCTTTGTTGGGATAACGAACAACCGTTAGAACATCAATCGGAGCAACTCCATACTTGCTAGTATATGGGACAGAAGCAGTGATACCTGCTGAAGTTGAAATACCTTCATTGAGGATCATTCAAGAAGCTGAACTGAGCAATGCTGATTGGGTTCGTAATCGGATTGAACACTTAACCTTAATTGATGAAAAAAGGATGATCGCTGTTTGTCATAGTCAATTATATCAACAGAGAATGATTCATGCTTTCAACAAAAAATGAGATCTCGAACATTTGAAGAAGGACAATTGGTCGTCAAATGCATCTTCCTCCATCAAGATGAGTATAAGGGAAAATTTGCACCAAATTGGCAAGGACCGTACATGGTTTGTAAAGTGTTATCTGGAGGTGCCTTGATCCTGTCAGAGATGGATGGCCAAGAGTGGCCAAAACCAATCAACTCGGATGTTGTCAAGAGATACTACGTCTAAAAGTTAGTTTTTCTCTCATCACTTTCCTTGTAGTCGTATCATTTGCTTGTAATTGCTTATGTCAAGTTTTTATATCCTTGTATTGAACTACGTCTGACCTGAATTCTCAAAAATGAGATACATAGGCGGCCTATGTCGGCCTCGGTCATTTTCTTATTAAAATTTCCTATTTTCTCAAAAGGGGAACTACGTTTGACCTGATTCTTGCCTCAACGAGATACGTAGGCGCCACAACGGCTCGGTCATACACCCCATAAAATTTTCATTTCCAAAGATAATGGAAACTGGGGCGGAATTTTTGAGAGAAGCTCAAAATTCTAAAGATCATTCGTCAGTAAGACAGGATTGAGCATGCATTAGGAAAAGGCAACTGGAGTATAATTTTTGAGAAGATCTCAAAAAAATTCCGCAAGTCTTCCTACCAAAGATCTGAGAAATGACAAGGCATTTCACTGGGGCAGAATTTTTGAGAAGATCTCAAAAATTCCGCAAGTCTTCCTACCAAAGAGTTGAGAGATTCCAAGAAATTTCACTGGGGCAGAATTTTTGAGAAGATCTCAAAAATTCTATCAAGTACTGTCAGAAGTTCAAAGTTAACGACAAGTAATCTCCAGCATGATCAGAGGCTCATGAACCCAAATATCTCAGAAATTCAAAGTCAAACTTCAATTATCTTCTGATTTCCCCAGCTTAAAAGGACTTTTAGATTGGATATATTGAAACTTGAACTGAAGTGTTCACTTAAGCTTTAATGTGACATGACACTTGGCAGTGACCCTCATCAAATAACTTTTCAAAAATCCATTTTTTCTAAAAACTTTATACATATATCAAATATTTTGTATAAAATATAGATCTATCTTATGTCTACCAAGAAGCGGGAAGCTACAAGTAATCAACCAAAGATAGCAAGAGGAGGAGCAAGCAATCAAAGAAGTCAACACAGATTAGTTCACTTAAAACTAATAAATTTTCTGTGAATGCAGGTTTACAAGGATATCAAGAGATAATCATGTTCAAAAAATATGGGAAAGTCAAAATAGCAAAAGCGCCCAAGACTAACATTTTCTTTATGCAGGAAAAGGCATTGATATTCATCCGATAAAAGTAGTTAACTTGGTATTTTGAACAACAATTTCTTGTGCATATTTCTCAAAAAAAAAATTAATAAATAAATAAATATATATATAGTAGCCACAATGAAGATACAATTGGTCAGAGGAAAAATAGGTGAAAGCATCAAGAGGATGGCACTTTAAGATGTACAAATGACTATGATAACATCATGTTGCATTTTCCAGCGTTAAAGACGTCTGAAGGGCACATGTAAGACACATCAAATATCTAAGAGAATTTGAAGTGCAACTTGCCAAAAATATTCATTATCACGTTAAAGTCGAAAGAGGTTAACGTTGAAGGATATTTGTAAGTCACATCGATACCAGATACGGCGATGTGCATTGCCAAGAGGGCCATCCATATTATATTATCAAAGGTGATAATATCATTGCCAAGAGGGCCATCAATATCATATTACCAAAGGTAGTAATATCATTGCCGAGAGGGCCATCAATATTATATTATCGGAGGTGATAATATCATTGCCGAGAGGGCCATCCATATTATATTATCAGAGGTGATAATATCAAACGCCGAGAGCGCCATCATCTACAATGCCGAGAGGGCCATTAGATATTCAAATTGCCGAGAAGGCCATCATATTCAAACCGCCAAGAGGGCCATTGCATCTTCAAATGCCAAGAGGGCCATCATCTACAAAAGCCGAGAGGGACATTGCATCTTCCATTGCCAAGAGGGCCATTGTATATTCAAATCACTGAAAGGGTCATCCGTATTATATTATCAAAGGTGATAATATCATTACTGAATGGATCGACATCATCCTGCCAATAGATCATCGTCATCGCACCAATCAAGCTTCGACAACATCATCCTACTATTGGATCAACATCATCCTGCCAATGGATCATCAATGTAGCAACATCATCCTATCAATCGAGCATCATTATCATCATCATGTCAATAAAGTATCGTAATCAACAATATTCCATTATCGAGAAAGTCATCACCATGTCACATCATATCGATTCATCATCTACTGCGTCAAAACCGACAGAAGATGACGTCAGAATATATAGACAAAAACATGTACCAAAAATGGTAAAAACATAACACTTCTCTATTTAAATTACAATTTCTACTAACGAGTTTATTTCAGTCTTTATCGAGAGCATCCAAGAGGATGAATTCTCTAATCAAACCACAGGTGCGGACGACATCAAAATGGATACAACACAACGTGGAACTTTTTCTTAGCAGCGAACTGGGACATAGTCCGAAGAGGAGTATCAAACTCATAGGACGCGAGCTGAGGAGCGACTACCACCACAATCAAACCACACCCGTATCAGAAGGCATGTGGATTTTTCTTTAGGTTTATCAGTTTCAATTTCGTATCCGAAAAATTTCTCACTCTCACCGGAAGCAACCTTTCTAATCTGAGTGATAATGCACCAAGAGCTTTGGAAATTATGTCCGTATAAGTTCTTAATTATGGGTATGAAGGACCCCAAATTCATGGCTAAGAGGTTGCAAGCCTCTTTTTCATACTCGACTTATTTGTCACTCTCCAGAACCAAGGGTTATCTAGCATAATAGATTTCTTTTTTCAACCGATCGAGTCAAACTACAAACAGCATGATTCCTAAGGTCTAAGGATATGTAGGCGGGATCAATGCTGAAAACTAGGCTGTATTCCGACATCCTCTCTCAAATCTTATTCTCAAGCATTTTGGTCTCTTCATAATTCGATATCGGGATAGCTTTTGACTTCTTTCTTAATCGTGCGTCAAATCAAGCATATCGAACTACAAGTGGCATGAATTCTCATGTAACTTGAGATATGTAGGAAACTCAATGTTAAGGTCCGGCCATAATTCCTCAAAAAATCCATATTGAGTCTTTCTTTTAAAAGAGATGGAAGTGGATTCAGTCAAAATTTGATTCATCAATCTTCTTTTCCCAGGTTTTCTTTCATCGACCCTACCCAAAGAAGGGGGCAGTTGTTGACACCCAATTTTGGCCCTCCACAATATAAATTAATCATCGAGCTTCTTAAATTCCAAGCGATTTGAAATAATTGACTTTATAAAATTCAAAATATTTTTTAAGTTATTTTAAATAGTTTTGTCACTTTTAAATAATATATATATGTTTTATATACTTTTGTATATAATTAGCATAGTTTATGAACATTCAAAAATCGCCTCAAAAAAGATTTTGTTAAATATTTGGTTAATTAGTTTAGTTATATAATAGTTTATATTTTAAATAATTAATTTATAATTAAGTTAATTATTTTACTTTGTTAAGATTAAGAAGCTCGTCAATTAATTAATACTAATTCATTTTATTTCATCTTTAGTCGGATTCACTAATTGAGTCAAATTGGTTAAATTTTAAAGTTAAGTGGACTAAGTGTGTCAATTTCATTTGGTCTATTTTTTTCTAATTCAATATACCATTTTTGTCCCACTTTTTGGACCTTTTTAGAAAGACCAAGTATTGGGCCCTCTTCTTTCAATTATCCAGCAGCCCATTTCTCCAATTCAATTTTCCTAGCCAATTCCCAATCATAATAAAAATCGGCTCATCTCAATGCTAAAACCCAATTCCAACAATTCCTCACAACAATGCATTATACAATCAGCATTCCAATACCAAAACCGACCCCACCCCATGTGTTTTCTTCTTCTTCCATACAAATCCAACTAAAAATTCAAAGACCCACCAGCAATATCAATACAAACAATAGTACCCGACCCCACCCCTTGTGTTTTCTTCTTCTTCCTTGCAAATTCAGAAAATTCCAAAAAAAATCAGTAAAAGTCAATACCAAGAACCTTAATTTCTTCATCCAACTACTCCACCCATCACCATTGATAATCCCTCCCTCCATATTCAAATATTGCAGACCTCAAGCTTGATTTGTTGACTTTGGATTAGATAAAAATCTCACCCAAATCTGATGCAAATCAGAGCTATGACATCAAGTCCGGATTTTTAGGGGTATGTTTTTCTCTTCCTTGTTTTTCTCCTCCATTATTTTCAATGAATCTCTCAAACGGCTATTTGAATTCAAATCTCTATTTTTGCTATAAATAGATGGTATTGGTGCCATTTAGAAAAGAAAGAGAGGAAAATCACAGTGATATAGGTTCATAAGAAGAATTTTGATTTCTATAGTTGCTAAGTTAAAAATTTTGAATCTCGAATTTTTGTCTTAAGCTCTGTATTCTTTGTCATCGGAAGCTTTCGTCGGAGTTCTTTTAACGTGGTGGTGAAATAGTTCGTTTCAACTCGTCGTCTCAAGTTCACTACCCATAACCAAGTAATCTGCTTCCGTTATCTCTTTAAATTCCCGATTTTGCTTTGTGTTCGTTTTAAGTATTTTAGTTGTTTGGATTTAGTCACTGCTTAACATGTAGATTGATGGGTAAATGCCATATAGCTTTCTTTCTTTCTTTCTTTCTTTTTTTTTTTTTTTTTTTTAGACTTTTCCAGCTCATATTTATTTCGTGTTGTTTGTTAGAATTCAGCTTTTGAGTAGTGCATTCTAGTTTCGTTTCCTGCATTCTGTTTGCTCAAGGTGTTTCAAAATTTTTATGAACTTGTTGATACCTCATAAATGTTGAGACAATTTTTTTGAAAATATTTTAAACTTGTGGACTCCTTCTCCATTCTATTTGTTTGAATCAGTAGACCTTTAAACTCATGTTTGCTCCCTTCCTTGTGAGTCCTCTGTTCCGTGGATACCATGATTTTTATTATTCTATTACATTGCTTTAGATTCATACATGCATTTGACTACATTACTTTATTATCATTATTTTCTTTTGACAAAAAAGTAAAAAGTAAAGTTAAGTGTCAATCATTGGAAGTGAGAAATAATATTTGTATTGTTTTGTCTGCTACTGCCAAAGGGTGTTCTTCCATGATATGTGTTAATTGTCAAGATAATAGTTTAGTCACATGAATTTAAGTGTTACTTGTATAACAATGAGAGTTTAAGAGTTAAGAAATTTAATCAATTTAAATAAGAATTAGCGTAATTGTGAAGTTGGCTATAATAATTCATATTATTTTTTACTATTATTATTATTTTTAAAACATTCCTTATTAAATTGATAGTTTAGTCATTGTTGGGTTCCATTTATTTGTTTAGAAAGACTTGCATTATTTTTCTTTATTTATTTGCATTTTTGAGTCTAGCATGCCACTAACCATTTAGTTGAAGATTGGAATTTAATATGTCATATGTTCAATTTTCCTTGAATTTTAATTCTACTATAAGTTAAGTATTAATTTTTCTTCCATGTTTACCTTGCATGAACCCCTCCTTGGTTTGAGTCCATTCGACTCTCTTCTATCTCTTTCCTTTGCATTTCGGATGTGCTATGGAGTTCCGAACTCAGCACTATCGAGTTGAACTCATCATTTCAAGAAATTGAAAGCTGAAACAGGTCTCGGAAAGCAGAAAAATGGGTTGTATACATTTGATATACAGTGATATACATTAAGGGTATACAAAAATGGGAATTGAGCCAAAAGCCCAAATCAGCAACGAGTTTGACCCTAAAAAAGGGGGCCCAAATTTATCTTCTCCTTTATTCTCCTGGATTATTTAATTGTGATTACTTATTGTTAGTTTTTTTTTATTAACTCTAACTTTAAATAACTTAATTGAACTCCCCAAAGGATGAACTATTTTCTTTGTGTTGGTTTACTTTAATAAATTTTATTTTATCAACTCTTGCACCCTTATTTACTTATTCAAATGCCTTTCTATTTAAAACTTTCACTACTTTAAAATGATTTCTTGGTTTATCAACTAAATTGGTGTAAATTATTTTTAAAATGATTCAAACAAATGCTAATTAATCTAGTTTTGTTAAAATTCTAATCACTTGCAATTTAAGTCAAATATTTCAATTTATATCTTCTTTTTCTTAAAAATTAAAAAATTATTCTTTGTTTAATTATTTTCTCAAGTTGATCATTTTTCTAAAAATAGTCAAAATATATTTAATCTAAGTCGTAGGATAACTGCGTGTTAGCGAGCGCTTCAAGTGCCTTAAAAACCTTCTTGAAGTGTAAATAAGAACCTCTTACCCATTTTCTCTAAATTTTTAAAGGTTTACCTGTTAAGGCCTTTTAAATTAAGTTTCTTAATTTCTTTAAAAATTAAGTGGCGAATCTTTTCTAAGTATTTTTCTTAAATTGTTTTATACTTAGAACATTTCAAAAAAGTGATTTTTCTAAAGATAGTAAAATTACGGCATAACATATATCAAAACTCGTGAGAGCTTAAACAAATTGATTAAGGGTGGGATAAAGTGTCTTACCTAATATGACAGTCCTAAAGGTCTTGTATCTGAGACCTAAACTCCTAGCAAAATTAATTACTTTTGTTGCTTGAATATAAGCTTTTTCCAAGCATTCCCACATCTCCTTGGCAGTTGAGCATCCCACAATTAGGTACATGATTTCTTCGGTCAAGGTGCCTGAGATCAAACTCCTTAGCAACACATATTTCTCCTTCAAATCATCAATGCTGCTACAATCTTTTGCATCCTTCTCAACCACTACAACTTTTCTAGCAGTTTGTCCAGTGGAACAACTACTTTTACTTGATTCATTCTCTGTGATCTGAATCAATTGGGATATTTGTGTCCTCTTTATGAGGTAGTTTGCTAGCTTAAGTTTAATGGAGCAAGCGGCAATGAGTTAGTGAAGTGAGGAGGTCGACATAGTGTTGGTAGAAGTGGTCATTGCAATTTAACGTGTGGTTTTTTTTTTATCAATACTCAAAGAGCGGAAGAACTTTTATGCTCTGATACCATGTAGAAATCTCACGTAAAGTATGGAGAAATCAAGAATTGTATTGATGATTAAAATTGTTGAGTACATACTCCTTATATAGGGAGAGAATTGTAGAGTCTTAAGTTAACTATACTTAGAGTCCTACTACAATACCTATTACTACTAAAATAATAATAATGTAATTATAAATAATGTAATCCTAGTTGTACTATAATCCTAATTGTAATCTAATCCTAGTCGTAATATAATTCTAATAGATATAAGTAGTATAATCCTAGTGCAACTCTAATTCTATAGCAGTGTTGTAAACTCGTCAGTCAGCTTCATTGGACCTATTCCTTTGACATGTTCCAATCGTCAGCTTCCTTCTTCATCAACACTTGTTGTAGACACGTCAGTCAGCTTCGTTGGACCCATTCCTTTGACATGTTCCAATCATTAGCTTCCTTCTTCTTCAACACAATGGAGTAATTTTTGGAGTCAAAAAAGGAAGAAAGATCGTGTATTTAGGGTTGTTCTAAGTGATGTATCCAGAGATAATGTAAATATAAAGAGAGATTTTTATAATTTTTTGGAATGGTAGGAAATAATAGAAAATGGTAAAAAAATAATGTATAGATAGGTAATTTTTCTTCTTTTTTTAAATGTAAAACTTGACTCATAAATATAAATTTTGCACACAAAATCCATCATTTTAAATTCAGAAAAAATGACTCAAGCTTGATGTGAAGAAATTGTATGTACAATGTAGGAGGATATATTAAAGCATAGTTAGTTAATCCGATCACGAATACAACAACAACATACCTAGTCTTTTATCTCGTAGAGAAAGACAATTTATTTTTTGATGGAGCATACGCAGACCATAGCTTTACATCGTAGAGATAGTGGGGTTGTTTTCGATGGAGTATATGCAAACCTTATTTTTACCTCTTAAAATAGAGAGGTTGTTCCTGATGGAGCATACACACTTCTTACTTTTACCTCGAAGATATATAGAGATTGTTTCTGATATATCGTACACAAATCGTACTTTTACCTCATAGAAATAGAGAAATTATTTTTGATAGAGGAAACACAAACCTTACCATTTCCTCATAGAGATAGAGAGTTTTTTTAAATAGACCCTCAACTCTTTATGTGCTAAAAGATATGTTCGTTTGAAGTTGACCCAAAATTAAAAATTGATGGCGACTTGTACGAACCTCTCTTTAGTTCTTTTTGAAAATCGAGGTGTTGCAATTTCACAATGAAAAATAGAAATTTAATTAAAAAGATGTCAACTTAAATTTTAATGTTAATTATTTATGTGTACTAATTAACTCTAAAAATGTGTAATTGAAAATGGCCACATGTCCATATTAGTCAGATTTTAATACTTCTTTTATGTCTCCCACATGCCTCCAAGAGAGTGAGCACACTCTCTGTGCCACCTCAACGTTGAAGGGTATATTTATAACACTTTAAAATAATTCAGGAGGGTAATTGGACCCATATATAGTTAAGGTGTGTCGCTGAGATTTCGTCCATAGTTAAAGGGTGTACTTATGTCTTATACCTATTTTTTTTCAATTGAACTTCAAACACAATTAAAAAAAATTGAAACATCATAAAATTCAAGTTTAAGCACCTATTTTTTCTATTAATTTTAATTTTTTTTGCATTTTCACCACTTACCGCATTTGAACCTTCTTGTTATATCCATTTTTCCCGTGCAAATGTATATGTCAAGTACCTTCATTAGATTTAAAGTTACTTGATTACAAGATAACTTGTTTATCAAAATGATAACATGCTTAGCATAACCCCACTAGTGGGACTGAAGAAGATAGAGAATATGCAGATCTAATTTTTATCTAGTAGAGATAGACGGGTTGTTTTTCAATTTAGCGTACGCAGACCTTATGTTTACATCGTAGAGATAGAGGGGTTGTTTTCGATGGAGTATACATATACCTTATCTTTACCTCGTAAAAATAGAGAGGTTGTTCTCAATGGAGCATACATAGATCTTACATTTACCTCGTAGAAAATATTTCTGATAGAGTGTACACAAATCATACTTTTACCTCGTAGATATAGAAAAATTATTTTTGATGGAGCAAACATAAACTTTACCTTTTCCTCATAGATATAAAGAGTTGTTGTAAATAGACCCTCAACTATTTATCAAAGCAAGGAGATGATTCTCACCTTGTTGGTTATACTAGGAGGCAAAGCCTTTTTCTTGAGTAGCCCTTGATTGTTTGACAATGTCTTTTTCTGGTTAATCCATCAAATGGAAGAACAAAAAAACATGACACAATCATTATAAGCAAAAATAACAGACAAGAAAATCTTTAAAAAATTATTTGAATACATGAAATGAGAATAATAGTAGAAGGAGATGGAGTACCTTAGCGGGAGAATGAGCTGGGTTTTCACTTAAGAAGATATTAATGAGGAAATTTATATTACAACGGTAATGATATTTTCAATTTTATCTTGTATAGATAGGAATATAAGATAAATTTTAGATTTTACATTTTTGCTGAGTTGTAATATTGGTTGAGTTACATTATTTTTTAAGTATATGTATGTTTATAGAATTTATCTATTTTTTGAAAGATTTAAAAATCAAATCTTAAAATTTCAAAATAGCTTCAGACTTTATTTTGACTCAAAATATGAACGTTAAGACTAGGGTTGTACATGGATCGGATTTGTTTGAGTCTTTTAAATGTCAAATTATTTGTGTCGAATTTCCAAATCTATAAACCAAACTGATAAATTTGGATTTTCAACCTCGAGTTTTCTGGGGGATTTTCAAATTTCTTGGATTTTTAGGTGTTTTTGATAAAATATTCTTACAAATATATAATCAGCTTGGGCTTCAGCTATTTTTTAGTTATGCCAAAATACACCTATATAAGGACATCTTAAGAAAATAACACAAAATATGAAATAAGTTATGACACTAAATTATTCAACAAAATGTAATAATGAAATCTCATAAAATAAATATTGCAAATTAATAAGTCACAATGAAGATGAACATAATTTAAAAGTATTAAATCATGCTAAAATAAGTCTAATAGATATTAATAATATGACCAAATATTAAAGAAAAATTAAAACTAGGCTATTTATTTTAAATTATCTAAACCAATGTAAAACTAAGAACAAATATTCAACATTATTGTCATTCTTAGTGTTGAATTATTCTTTTTTAGCATTAGTGTTGATTTGATTTAGATTTGAGTTTTATTAGAGTTAGTAATATGTATGGACTATAATGTCACGGGCGTATTTTCAACTGCGTCGGTGACACACAATTTACCCGTATGACACCCAAAGCTCCCTGTAGCATAGGACCAGCCTTTCAACTTTTCCCCGTTGCCTAAGTACAATCCTTGTACTTGTGGAGAGGTTCCCTTCAAGGCTCCCCTCATTGTGTCGCCCGTCTAATGTCTAGGTATGACATTGACATGCATTGACTCATATGGCATATCCTTACAGACTGGATCACTTTCAAGTGCGCCCTGGGGTTTGGCTATGGACATACTTGTGCTATGCCGACCTGAGCATCACTGCCGCATGCACAGTCCTATCCTCAAGCTTGTTAGTCGCTTCGTGCATGCGCACTTGGCCTTCGCTTCGCCTGAGTAGGCAACGTCCAATCCTTGGCCTTAGTCATGTGCGTCTTCATTATCATGCCTTCATTTGTCTTAGCGCATAGCCCAACATAGCCCACACGTCATGCATACAAGTCCCACATGCAACGTTGCCCCATAACTGCACGTCTAGGCTAACGGACCCTTGATCGCATGGTTGAACCCTTGCCAAGCTCACAAGTTAGCTCACGAGGCTCATGAGTGAGTCCCTTGATTACTCAATCGGCTAGGAGGTCTTTTCTCACAAGTGGGACGATCTGGAGGGCCCATCGTT